GTTTTAGGAGCTCAAGAAATAACCATTAATCTACTTGGGAAATATTTTAGTATCCTCTCGAAGTGTTGGTAGATTGAAGAGCCAGAACAATAACAGGCGAACATTATTACCTAATACACATGTAGTAACAGCACCTTTTGAAATCAAGGAACTAAAAGAGGAGTGATTCAAAATGAATTCTGTATGTCACAATCTGATCATTTTGGGGATCATCAAGTTCTTAAAAAAGCTGAGGGGATAATAAAGTGAGAAAGAATGAACAACTTTTGATATAGCTGGTTTTAAGACATTTCCTTTATGTTTGGCCCTTGGACTGTTGCAATTTTGGTGCTCCTTCATGTGGGCACCAGTGACACTGCCAAGAGAGATGTAGAACAGATCAAGAATAATTGCAAAGCCCTGGGGAAAAAGTGAAGAACATGGGAGCCCAGGTATTCTCTTTGATTTACAGGTGAAGGGGAAAGCTTCAAGTAGTAGTGGGTGCATCCTGTAGGTTCACAGATGGCTGTACCAGTGGTTTTAAAGGCAGCAGTTTTTACTTCTGTAACCATGGATCCATTTCTAAACAACAAGGACTGCTAGTGAGAAATGGGATCCATTTTAAAACATGGGGCAGGAGCATCTTTGCCAGCAGGTTTGCACTTTGGTGACAAGGACTTCAAATTAGGAATATCAGGGGATGGTGGTAACAGCTTGCAGTTGAATGAAGGGACAGAGTATTAGATGTGTGGTTCAGTGCTTGCATTGGGAGTGCTGTTGGAAATTACAAAACCAGTTAGAAAGATCTAACCTCCAGTGCTTTTACACACTCACATGCAGCCTGGGAAACAAGAGGAGCCAGAGCTTTCATAAATCTGATTCTTGCAGGGAAGGCAGGGGATGGGATAGCCAGTGTTAGCCTTGCCTGCAGCAATCGTGAAATAGTTGAGTGTGGGGCTCTAAGGGGTGTGGGGAAGGCAAGCAGCAGAGTACATAGCTGGAGTTGGGCAACAGCAGTATAGAAGACGGTCTGGTGTTTGTAACGTGCCATAAATACCTGCTGACTGTCTAGCACAAATAATCTTCTGGGGTGTATCAGCAAGACTGTGTTATGTAACAGGGATAATTATTCTGCTGGGTGTTGTTAAAGCTGCAGTTGAAGTGCTCTGCCCAGTTTTGACCACTGTTTTAAGAAAGATGTGAGAGCTGAGCCACAAAAATAGGAGTATATAAATATCTGAGGGTATACAGCTTGCATGAATTAACTGCTTTTAGAAAAGAAAATTAATACAGAATGCATGTTCTGAAATACATAACAGGCAGTTCAAGGATAACAGCCATCAATTGCTCTTGGTTTACCAAAAATAAAACAAGCTCTCTCAGTTTGCAACAAGGGAGATTTAGGTTAGATGCAGATTTAAAACACTACTAAATTGCTTAAGCCTTAGGACAGCGTAACTTGGAAAGCTGCAGGATCACCATCACTGGAAAGTGCTGAGATTTGATTTGACAGCTGTCTGTCATAGATGGCTTAGGTACATTTAAGGATGCTGTGGATCCAGAAAAAGAATTAAATTACTTCTTAGAACTGATTAAATGACAATTTTTATCAGAATTACCTTGGAATATGAACAACAGCATAACTTAATGGCTGTATCTCTAGTATGAGAAAGTGTCAGTAAAAACCCTGATTTTCCTGGCCGTCAGTACTATGAATTGATAACTTAAATAATTGCATCAGCTTGTATGGCCCCTTTTTAACTTGCACTGTGCCAATATGTAAGTTTGAAGCTTCCTATTAAGAAAAAACATTTTTTCACACTTTCTCTGCTATCAGCTTTTTAAGTACTTCATCTTTCTTGGAAAAAATCTTCCGTTGATTTCTGTCTTTGCATACCCACAGTTTCAAGTCATGGTCCCCTCAGTCCAGTGAAATAAGAAGTATTAATTTTTGGTTTTAATTGAAAGCTGGGTTTTTTTGCATGTTAATTTAGTTTATATTGGTTTATAAAATCTAAATCTTAGTGTTGAAGATGCAAAAGCTGTGTAAAACTCAACAGGAAGAATGGTTCAAAGAGTAGGGCGAATCCAGTCATGTTTTGAATCTAATTATAAATAGCTTTTTAAATAAAGAAGAAACAAAACTATTTGTGTTTTTTTTTATTCCCACTTCAAAATGTGTGGTCTTAGAAATATTCTGTAACTGTATCATTATCTGCCCGATATCATTTATACTCTTTTTCCAGAAACACACAGCAGTGGTTTAGTTCTTGTCCTCTGTATAACCTCAGGTATTGGGAGGGCTAAATGTGTGGTGCACTGATGTTTTGGTTAGCTTATGTCTGTTTTTTCCTTGAAGGAAATTCTTTTTAAGCAATCAAAATAACATCCTTTTTTATTATTTTTTTTTTTAGCCCTGGCAATATCCTGATGAATATAAACAAACTATTTAGACATACTATTAGATCATCAGATAACATTAAACAGTTCTTAAAAAGAGAACTGTACAGTTTTTTGTTAGTTTGAAAATGCTGTTGGTAAGTACTTCTTGTATGCCCAAGTAGACCAATCCAGCTATTGAGTAATGTGATTTCTGTCCAGCAGATGGAAACAGGAAATAAAGCAAAATGCTGTGACATTATCAATATGAAAAAGAAAATGCCTGTAAATGCACCCGTGTGTTTTATCTCCCAGCAGGTGGTGATAGTGCTCTCACTGCCTGGGCTAAAGTTTGCTTTGTTCTCTTAATATGTCTTTTTCTACCACTTTTTAAAATGGGCCAAGATTATTGGTAGAATTGCCTTCTGTCTTCGTTTCCCTCTCCTCACTGAGCTATAATGCAGTTTTTTGTTTGATTCTTTTTTATTAGGAAGATGAGTTTGGCCTGCTAGTAGGAGAAAAGACTTTAAGGATGAAAATAATTTGTTATATTTGTATTTCTGAGCTTGTTTGTGATAGTGCTTTTTATAATAAATCTAGTAGCATAAGTACTGAAGTCATATTCATCATCATCAACAAAAAATGATATGCAAGTAATGAAGAATTAGTCATGACATAAGACTTCTAAAATAATTGCAGCTGCTTGCAAAAAATAAAATTGTGAAGTCAAATGTAAACTGTCAATAAGCTAGAAATATGAGGAAACTAAGATAAAAAGAAACTTGCCATACAAACAGCAATGATGAGTTGACGATTAATATTCCCCTATAAAGTGTCTTACAATTTGGTCAACTACATATAAAAAACATACTTTCATAAAGCAGGAATCAGTTCAGCTTTATTTTAGCACTAATATTGTGTTCAATTCTGAAATGTATGTCCAACATAAAAATATTGAAGGAATTCAGAAACTGAAAGTGATGAGTTGTGAACTAAGCTGCAGAGTTAAACAAATGTCACTGTTAAAGAGACTTCTAACATCCTAGTAGTTAATCTAGTGTACTAAGTGTAGTGAATTGTACTGTCAGCTGTTTAAAGTAGTACATACGGTTAACTAAGAGCGATATTGCATGTTTAGAAGAAATTTTTTTACTAATTTGTATTATAAAGAAGTCTATTCCATCACAAGTGGTAGGAGCTCTCCATTTAGGATTAAAACTAAAAAAAACTCTTTGGACTAAGAGTAAATTGTTATCGAGAAGCACGCTCCTTAGCAATTACTCAGTCCTTAATAGTTGTTGCAAAAGTAGCTGGCTTTATTTTGCAAGTAGTTTGCTCTGTTTATTCATTAGCTGACCTTGTTCATTGTTTGAATGTCACAGGGGTTTTCTTGTTTGTTTTCAGTTTTGATCAGCTAAAAACGGCTGTTGTGAATTTGAAGAAACAAGCCAATAAGAAAAATGAGGGGAGTCTAGCTTATGTGAAAGGAGGTCTCAGCACATTTTTTGAAGCACAAGATGCTCTGTCAGGTAAAGATGCTTTGCAATTACTAGGTACAATATAAAAGAAAAGACAATATCTGCATGTATGGTTGAATTTAATATTAAGAACATTATTTTTCTTTGTAGTGTCTTCTAAAAGTGTATAATGAACCCAAAACCTGTGTTGTGTTAGTTGCAAGCTGGGACAGGCTAGCTGGTTGTTGTGGTATTTTTGCAAAAGATGGCACCAAATGTGTCTTACAGGAATTGGAGGCATTCGATGAAACTGCTTAGACCACAAATACGGAAAAGAGGGAAAATGTTAAACTGGAGATAATATTAAGATGACTTAAAAATTGTAATGACATAGAAACTTGATTTTGTGATGCTTTATCCCATAGACTCTAATATTTATATGAATGTTCAGTACACTCTGACTTAGGAAATCAGATGGCCTTTATAATCTGCTTGCCATAGGGAAAATGCAACACATGAGTGAGATTAGCTTAGTTGTCTCTCCCATTTTAGTATATATGGTTGTATTTGTTTTATATATACACACACACTCACACACTCTTAAAGCATAAAATGTCTCTTGGATAGAAGCTCATTGTGGGTTGCCATAGTCGAGTCTAGTTAAGGACTGGGTTGGATAAGAAAGTGACAGTGCTGGGCCATCCCTAATAGGTTTGACATTGACCACTATGCTCTTCTTTATAGGTACTGTATATTGCAGGATTATCACTCCTGATCATTGACCCCATGTGACGTGTACCATGGAGTAAGGAAACTTATTGTACTCATAGCCCCAGCCAAGCTAGCACTTCTGTTGGCTTTAGGAACACTGCTTTAGAGAAGTACCAATTTTCTCTTGACCCACTTGCAGGCCACTCACTAACTGTCTGATAGCCACTTCCATGTGTCAGGAAAAATAGAGGGTTGGTGGTCCACTTGTATTCCTGCCCCAGGCCTGTGACCTGCCCTTCAGATGACAGCATTTTCAAAAGTGGTTAAAAGGTTTTGGCTACCTGCCTAATTTGGTAGTTTTTAAGAGGAGAACTTTTTCCACAAGTGTGAATATACGTGCTTTGGTAGGGCAGACCTTTTCTTGAGACATATGAAGATTCTTCCTGTGAAGAATCTTAACTCCTAAATGTCTTTATTACCCCACCCAGAACTCAGTTTTGGAAGACCTTGGCCTAAATCTAGATAGGTTCAATAACAGAAAAGAGGTATTGAAAGATTTAGTAGAAATACTAAAGAATGTGGTGATAGTCATAGGAAAAGACACTAAGAGGAATCAGTATTTGGCATTCTCTATACTTTTTTTTAAGCTGAGTTTTTATTAAATGGTAGGAAAAATGATAACAGGCTATTTTTTGTCTTAAATATCTTGAGAATGTTGAAATCCTCATTTTTCTTAAGTAGTTCAAAATACTAAATAATCCTGAACAAATATTGAAATTTGACTTGTTTTTCACAACCAAATCTGCTTTGCAGGTAGAGTGTCAAATGCTCTAAAAGATTCAGAGTTCTGTTTCCAAATAGTTACTGCTATGGATAAAAAGTTGTGCTGGCGGACATATGTGTTATCTTGTAAGATTGTTTTTTGGACCAGCACAGACTTAGTAGGATTTACAGTAATCTAATGCCACCCATAAATGTTGTAAGGTTTAAGAAAGACTGAACACGACTGTGTGATTTTTCTCGTGTCCCATCTATTAAAGGGTAGGCTTCTTGCCTTTGGAGATTCATTTCCAGATAAATGAAGACATCAGAGAGCTAGTAGGAATGTAAAAAGTATTAATAAAATAATGATAGGGAAAGCAAACTAATTTATTTCACTGTATACCATGTTCTCAATTAAAAAAAACCCAAACTGTAATATAGTTTTGCATCTCTTATCTGTGCCATTGTGTTAATTTTACCTAAAATTAGATTTTATTAGTGCAGTCCTTTAGATAAATTATGAACTCAAAACTTGGGATGACTCATGTAGTTCTCAGTGCCACTTTTCATCTGTAACCAAAATGGCTTTTTTTTGTCTTCTTCCCAGTGATCCCCCTTAAGTGCTCAACAGGAAGCAGATTTGTAGCTAGTGTTGTTATAAACGGTGACTTAAAATAGTACTAAGAAAGAATGGCCTTGATGCTGTTGTAGAAGAAAATTAGAGACTTAAAGTCTTAATCTCTTATATATTCAAAACTATAACACTGGAGTTCAAGGGACTTGCCAATACAATATTTAGTTTTTAAATCCTGAAATCAAATTCTTAATGAGGATGCAGTGAAGGTCACAGCTGCCTTCTCTAGCATTTTAATATGCATTTCTCTGTTGAAATTTCCAATTAAATGCATGTGCCAAAACTTTTTTTATTCTTTTCAGTCAAAAAAATAACCCTTTATTGCATATGAAGTTCAGCTTTGTAATGCAGAACTGCTTATTTACCCTTTCTTCACCCTTATGCAGAATATTTTTGAGGGACTGTAGCTGGAAAATTTGCATAACTTTTGAAAGACTTGAACTTCTGATAGGTATAATCAACAGCTAAGCTGGATACCCAGAAGCTTCCTTGTAGTAGCAAGAAAAAAGGGCATCTTTGATGACATCATCCAGCCCTTCTGCCAGATGTCAAAGCTTTTCTCCAGAAAGTTTGATCTACAGTTTTCTCAACAGAAAGTTGACAAGAATTAAGCAGAAGTGTTATTGGTATTGTTCTAGTGAAACAGCTCAGATGAAAAATTAAAAACAAAACAAAAACAAAACCACCAAATAACTAAACCAAAACAAACAAAAACCCCCAAACAAACAAAAACCTCATTAATTTTTCGGCATGCAGTTATTAAATTCAACCTCTTTAACAGGTGAACATTAAATTAAAAATCCCATTATACTCTGGCTAGACAGTGTTTGTGCAAGATGATACAATGGTACTTTTCTGTCCTTACACATATCAGGGTGAATTTGTGTGTCTTATTTTCTCCTTTAAAAAGGTGCAACTAGAATTTGTATGCATTTAAACAAAGCTACATGAAGAGTAGTTTATGTTTGAAAGCTGGAAGATTGTTTCAGCACAAACTCTTAGTGACATAGCCTTGGTTCTGCAAAGTTTCATTATTTGATGCTGAGCATACAACTGTCACTGTGTGACTCAGTGTGAAAAGTGACTCAAGGGAAAATCATTATTGAATTCATCTAGGCTGTCTTCCAATATGATTTAAATTTCCTGAGCTGCTTCATTTTGGTTTGCCTTTTTTTTTTTTTCCCCCACTTCCTTTGGGAAGATTTCTGAAATCTAATGCGTTTTCTGAAGATACGTTTTTGTTGGTGGGCAAAAATTTAGGCTCTCAGTTTTCCCCTTCAGATATCCTAGAACACATATTCCAACCCCAATGGTTATGCTTTATAAACTGCAGGTTCGTTCTGTTGTTGTAGAGGAGCTGCCTGTGTACAGTTATTTCTCCTAGGTCTCCCTAAATTGGTACAGGATGTTACTTTTTGTAGGAGGCTCACTTTAAGAGGTATAACACTTGCTTTATTAGGTATTTCATAGTAATCTATTTGCATATTTGTTCATACATGTTTTTTTTAAACTCATACATGTTTAACCATATTTGTTTCAAATACATGAACTTGATTGGAGAAACCGTGGATTACTGATTATAGTGCAGCTTTTTTCATTAGCTGGGATCAGTAAGATCAGTCTGATCCTAAGTGTGCTATCAGACTGCATTACACATTTAAATGAGTATTAATATTTTCACAAGTAAGCAATGAAAACCATAAAAATCTATCCCAAGATGTTTATTGTATTTTGTGATTTAGAAACTGTTTACTAAGAAAATAAGAAGTTAAATAGGCCAGAACCCTTGCTTGTTTGGTTTAATTTCTTGGAAAACAGAATTGCCTTATCAGATCCTCATGTCTCTCTGCCTGTTAGCTTGGCTGACAGTTTGACGGTGACTTTGCTGCTGAGATGTTCAACAGGAAGTTTGTTTCGTCAGCTGAAGGGAGCTGTAAATTTAGCTGAGGGGAACTGGGCTCACCTCAACTTGACCCACTTGTCAACATCGGGGAGTTGAGCTGTTTTATTTCCCCTAATTCTAACTGCAGCCTAGAAAGTAGCATTCCTAAAAGGGCTGTTGTTTATATGCTTGTAGACAAGTCATGGTTTATTGTCATGAATAAGTCATGTCCCACACAGAAGTCTTTGGAAAGCCAGAAAATTAACTAACTTTGAACCTACTTTTTCAGAAGTGCTCTTTACAAAGAGCCTTAGGGTGCAGAGTTTCTTTTTATTTAAGTGAAAGGAAAAAAATAGGGAAATTACCACTTCAGTTGCTCAGTTTCACAAAACCGTGCAAGTATGACATCCATATTGGCAAATAAATGAGTGACTCTTGTCCTTTGAAACACAGATATGTTGAAAAAATTTGAGATTTAGATTTAACTCTCCAGTTTGTCGTAGCAACAGTTCTTCTTGTGCATTTACAACTACAAACACATTTTACTTGATTTTCAGGGAAAAAAATCTATATAAAGGAAGCACTGCTGGCTATTACAGCACTTCTCCTTTTTTCCCTTTCCACTCCTGTTCAGATATGTGGCCTATGGGAATGCCGGTATGATGGGAAACTTACACTGCAGTTGGCCTTTTGTCTAGTATATTACTTAATAGATATGTTAGGATAATGTTTACCTGGCTGAATGATTCTATATCTGGTTAATGCCTGGTTTTTTTGTTTGTGTTTGGTTTTGTTTTGGTTTTTTTTTCATATAGAATATTTTTACGCCTCACTCCCTAAGACCCATTCTAGGATGAGCATGTCAGTGATCCAGGATCTGATTCAGTATGAATACACGTATTCCGTTGCCGTTATGTCTGTTAAATTAATTTTCTCTCAAACTAAAACAAAAGAAAGTACTGGATCTATATTCAATTCTGAGCCAGACTGGGAATTCGAGAAACTAAAAACTGATGCTTGTCTGTCATGCAGGTGTCCCTTTGCTTCTGGCTTTTGGGCAGTTATGATATGTTTGAATTTAAA